TTTACTGCTGTGTTGTCTGCGTCCATGTGTCACTTTGCATTTGCGCCTACGCCCTGACTTTTTTCGGTTTCTCGGTTCCCGTGTGCCCGCCATTTATGGATATGGACACCGCCACTGTCTCGACACCGGCGCGCCAAAGCTTGGGGACTCGTCCTGCGGTGACACCGACACAATCGGCCAAGAAGGATGAAGACGAGAGGCGTAAGCGCCGAACCTCCGGACCGCGCGCGGTCGGCACAGACGCTCAGCAGGCCACACACGACTCCACGAAGGTGCGCCAATCGACTCATTTGTTTTGGGCAGTACTGAGGCCGTACGAGGTTGACGGCACTCTGTTTGGTTTGATATGCGCCGTTTGAAGTCGATGGTCGTCCTCTTTTATTTTCGCGACAGCGGCCCCAAGATAACGCGCATTTACGAAGATGATCGTTGGCTACTGTCTAAATATGCATGTTTANGCTTTTATTTTCACGACAGCGGCCCCAAGATAACGCGCATATACGAAGATGATCGTTGGCTACTGTCTAAATATGCATGTTTATGCATGTTTATTCTTTGCAGGGGAATGGGCCGAACTACCCTCGCGGGTTTAAACCAGGTAGGGAGGGAAGCGACGGGGCGAAGCTGCCTGTGTACATGTTCCTCCAGCAAGGCGCCCTGGAGGAGGGCGTGCAAGAACACACCACCGCTGAAGTGCACGCTCATGTTGCCCGGTGGTGGTCTAGCTACGCGGACAGCAACGAGGACCGCGCTTTTACTGGGAACCGCACCTCGACCGGCAAAATCTTGGCTTCGGTGGTCAAGGTAGGTGTTGGTCAGGAGTGGTCATCGTATACGCGCTATAAAATGGACGTGTTTATCCAAGTACCCGTATCTTGCAACCTTGCTGACCCTCCTATGTGCCGGCGTTATTTACATAATGACTCTCGCGGTTTGTTGGCCTATTTATACATCCCGCGCCAGGACGAGGACCTCGCCTTCTACTACGGACTCAAGAAAAGCTTCTCTGGTAGGTCCACGACGTGGGTGCTGACGAGGTCGTCATTGGCACGAGAGCGAGCCGATGCGCAGTGGAGTTTTTGTCTGCCGGCAGGATGGGCGGAGGAGTACAGTGCTGACGGCTCATGGAAGTTCAAGACTAGCAAGGGTGGAACGCCCGTCTCGGTGAGCCTATCCTGGTGACGTGCGCGGTTTAATTTTGTCTATGTTGTAGAGATTGCAGATGAGTGGGTTAGCTGGCGTGAGAGTGCGTAGGTTACATCGCGTCCTAGTACCACCAAGTTTTTTTAGTTGCCACCAAGTTTATTTAGTGGTGCTCCTTCTCAAAGGCCCCGTTTTTTTTTTGTCGCTTTACAGGTCTCCGTTACGAAGCCTGGACCTGGTGGAGGATGCCGTGTGGAAAACATGACATTCCACCAGGTCAACGTGTCCGATGTCTTCCAAGACTTGCGCAAGACATCACCACAACAGAAGAACTCGGAGAGGTAAGAGTTTCACGAAAGTCAATCCTCTGTGTTTGGGTTAGGTGAGGGCATGGTTGGTGTTGGGTAATGTTTTATTTTGGTTGGGGTTGCTTTCAAGGATTGTCAAGGTGCTTCCCCATACCGGCGTTTGCGTTGTACTACGCGATTGAGTCGGTCCCGGTAGACACTACCGTCACCGTGATGATGTGCCCCGTAGACTGCGTTGGTATGATTCAGTTTGACGGCAGATTGCCAAACGGTAGGGCGGGCTTGGCCCACTGGTTGCCTCGGGCAAGCAAAATGACGGCGAGTGTTTCTCTCAATTATTAACTTTTACGTGTGTGACATCGACCGCAGACATACTGGGCGTACACTGACCTCTACAGCGACCCACGTGCGTTTCGCCATGTTTCCACGCAACACCCGACCTTGTTAATATCGTCAGATGTTGTCGAGGGTAGTGGACTCCAAGCGGCCGTGTGAAGGGGTACGGGCGGCTCACTACGCTGACGACTACTGTGGAGACGCGTTTGGCAGCACCGTGCGAGAGGCCCTGAGGCACGGGAAGCCCCGTGGGGTGGGGGGGGTAGGGCACTTCCCTGGTTTCCATCGTGCTGGAAAGGCCGCAAGCGCAACGCTTCACGTCCTCGGGGACGACCACGTGTTTCGTAGTGCAGGCTGCATTGGCGTCGCTACCGCTGCCGCCNTTCCATCGTGCTGGAAAGGCAGCAAGCGCGACGCTTCACGTCCTCGAGGACGACCACGTGTTTCGTAGTGCAGGCTGCATTGGCGTCGCTACCGCTGCCGCCAAAGTTCCCCGCTGTTCTATGTGTGCTTCTTGGCACGCGGAGACCTTCTTCCCGAAGCTCAAAGGCGCCGCCAACAGGGCGGGGTTGAGCAGTGAAGATCTATACCCTGACTCAAGCGCCCGCACGAAAAGAAAAAAATCAGCCGACGCGAAAATGAGACCCTTCCCTTCCCACGGATTGTTCCTCTCCTCAACCACGAATTCCAAGCCACTGAAATGAGGATAAGCTTCCCGAAACTCCTCAGCGGAGGCAACTTTGTGGCTGTTGAAGAAGGGCAAGAACGCCGAACCAAGAGAACGCTGTCTACTCACGCGCGAAAGAGCGCTACTCAAAAGCCACCCCGCAATGTTATACACCAGACGCCGTTGATGAACGTCCAGATCAACGTCTTCGGCAGGATACGCCACTTTGACGAGATGGGCCGCGTCCGTCTGTTGCGTGAGGGTCTTGTCGGCGACCTGTCCGGTAAATCAGTTGGGTTGTCTCGGGTTGGTATGATATTACCGTCATCGCGAAAAGTTCAAAACACCCAAAAACACNGAGATGGGCCGCGTCCGTCTGTTGCGTGAGGGTCTTGTCGGCGACCTGTCCGGTAAATCAGTTGGGTTGTCTCGGGTTGGTAGGATATTACCGTCATCGCGAAAACTTCAAAACACCCAAAAACACGAAACAAACAGGTACAGCAGCAAGCTCATGCGCCCATACCACTCTGACTGCAGGATGCCAACCATTGATGACAGTCTCACCTCATCGATGGCCCCGAACACGCAAGTGAGTTTATGAGCGACACGCCGACTATCCACTCCCAGCTCGAGAGCCTTGCGGACGATGCTCGGCTCGCTGCTGAACTCCTCTTGCTTCGGAAAGCGCTCTTCCTCCCGCTTTTTTTCGTACGCTAGTGCCCGTTTCGACGAAGGCGGCTTTTTGGAATTTTCCACCAGCGCCCCCACGAGAACCCCCCACCAGCCGAGAATAGCGTCCTTCACTTCCTGCACATCAAGTAAACCTACGACGATATGCTTGTACTCTGGCACTTGCCCCATCCAATGTACCCGGAGGCGCTCCCCAACCCAGTCAATCAACCTCGCGCCTGTCGGGAGCTGTTTGACGACGATCTCGGCCATGGCTGCATAGGTCTGTCGTGCGAGGAGCATATGACGTGCAAGAGGCGGCAGCTTAGAACAACGCTTGCGTATGATTGCTTTCAAGGCACCCCTCTCCCTTCATACCAATTAGTGATACCTTGACAGGAAATCTGAAGACGCTGGTGGCCTCCCCTTCTCACCTGTCGATCGGCTTCAGAAGTACCCGTCTCTTCATCTTTTGTCTCTTCCTCCTCCTCCTCCTCCTCCTCCTCCTCTTCGTCTTCCCTGGTGAAGGCGTCCAGGCAATCGTCCAGGCGCTCTTAAGTCATCGGAATCTTCATCGTCTTGATCAATACCTCTGATGTCTGCGTCAAATACCAGGAGTTTGTGCGCGGGGGTGGGGAGTGGGGAGTGGGGGACACGCATGTCTAACGAGTTAGGCAGCAACCGGAATCAGTTTCCGGCACCCGGAGGTGGTGTTGGTGTGCCCGACCCGCGTGACAACCGCTCAGCCCCGAGGGTCGCTATTGTACCGTTCGAGACTCCTCATTCGGCGGTAGCTGCGTGGTCTGCTTGGTAAAACTGACAAGACGGGGGGTGGAGGGTTCACACCACCCATAGGCTCCTAGGAGTGTATCAATACCTTGAGGACGGTAACGAAGTAAATCCCTAAAAGTTGAATACCCATGTCGGAGTCTTCAGGGAAAACAATCCTTGCATGCGCAGGCATCGGTCAATGCTGCTCAAACTACAGCACACGCTTACCAAGCTATTCTTACCCGAGTATTCGTCGTCGCTCCCATGTTGCTCGGGATGGCTGTGGCCCTTTCCCTCTTGTTGCCCTCCAGTAACTGCTTCCTGAGCGACGGCATCGATGGGGCATCAACCGAGGGTAGATCAACACCAAGCGCTACCACATGACACTGCTCTCCGGCAACGGCGCACACAAAACACGCCGTGCGCTGCCAAAGTTGTCCCCGTGCTAACCCTCCCCCTTATCTTGGCATACCTCTTCCACAGGCAAAGAATGAAGGCGATGCATGGGCACAGCGCAGCCGTCATAATCCTCGCCAGAACCATCACCGCCCCCCCCTGCCGGCGCCCGGCGCAGGTCGTCCATGATTTCGAAGTGCGCTTATCCACCTGTTCCGGTATTTATTTCGTTGGTACGCTGGTGAATGAAGGGGCGTGTATATTGCCTCGACTCTCTCGTGAGCCCGAAAACCCAGAGAATATGAACATGCAATAGTTGCGGGCGCACTGACAAAAAATTGCGCAGCCGTATGCACAAGAGTTTGGGCATATTCGGTCGCGTCATGTACTGTCGTTGGGCGGTGGCTCGAAACGTCGTACTCTCGCCGTCAAGTGGATCTCCGGACAAAACTGCGCACTCCCGAATACATCGGCCCGAATACAACGGACTAACCATGTAACAACCAGGTGCCGATTGATGCGCTACACTGCCGTTCTTTGGTGTCTACTACTGCTGTACGCAGTGCAAAAGGTTGCGAAAGATGCAACACCGCATAGAGCGCGATTTTCGTTTTTTTTATTACTCCACGTCGAAAGAGATGCATACATTAAATCAATACGTTTTCGGAGATCTCTCGACGAGGCAGCTTCAACGCGGCCGTTTGCTGCGCCGTCCCGCTCCATGACGTGGAGAAATCTCGGGGACAACCGGTTCAAGGGGTGTGGTATCTTCAGTCACCTACTGTACTACATGCTGTTGCCTCTTGCATCGACTTTGCAACGTCCACATCATGCCTCCAATTATTGCCATACGGCAAAGAATGTAAGAGCAAGATTCTTTTTGGGCCGTCTCCCACGCTCCTGAGGGACGTCGGCGATACAGAAACCAGCCGGAACCAGTAGGACATGACATGTGTCAACCGGCCGCGTGAGTGCGGGCCCACCGAATTTGAACAAGAATTAGCCACTTTTGTCACGATTCCGAAGCGAGTTGATAACCGTTTGACGGGAAACTTTGCGACATCCGAGGAAATGTAGTTGACTACGAAGGGTCGGCAACCGTTGCGTNTAACCAGCCGGAACCAGTAGGACATGACATGTTGTTGTTGTTGTTTGTTGTTGTTGTTTCTCACATTAGCTCTAAAAAA